TTTTCTTCGTACCTTTGTAGCTTTTATATACCCAAAGAAGAGTTATGATTTCAGTTTCCTCGAGTCTGTTTGGCCTGTACCCCACAATGGGCAGTGGTTCAGCTAAGTTAACTTCAGACAGCGATATTTTGGGCATTCATGGCTTGCCTGGTGAGCTGTGAATTATGTGAGCCTACAAAAATGTGGTTGATCATATCTAGGGCTGATAGGGCTCCTGCCTATCTAACGTTATTTAATGTGTTAATATGTTCTCAAGCATTTCTGGGTGTTGTCGTGATAGTTCAAGGGCTTCTTGCTCTTTATTCCCTGAGGCCCTGATAGTCACCTACTGCATTTCTGATCATGAGGGTGTGTTATTCCCAGTAGCTTGTCCATGTGCTGGTGTGCGTCTACATATCAGTGGGTCTGTATGTATAGCCACTGATTTATATTAAAATGGTATCTGCATGGCCAGGTTCTTCAGTGTTTCAGCTCTTTTCCAGCACCACAAAGGCACCTGTCTGTATTACCTACCATAGACCTGCAGGCTTCCAGTAAACCAACTCAGGGCTTGGCGATTCTTGAGGATTTATATAAGCCAAGTATTCTTGCAGGAGGAAAGAAAGGGGGAAGGGAAAATATTTGGCTTGAAATATGACCTCAGATAAGTGTGAATAGTGAGGCTGCCACACAGCCACTGACACAGAAATTGTAGTGGAACATGGGGGTGTTCAGCCTCCACTACGATAGTGGAGTAAATCAGTGCATTTGACATGTCTGAAATAGTTAATTGTGATGATGCTTCCATTTAGGAGTTGTTTTTGTACACTTCTCGTCTCAAGAAAAGTTTATCATCACAGATGTGCTGAGGTTATTGTACTTCTGACAATGTCTCCTTTTCCTTCCTTAAGTGGGTTTTATGGCTGTAAATCCTGAAAGGTTTACCCAGTTCCCTGTCATCATTGCCTTTTTCAGCTGAGCACGGAACCAGGTGGCTGCTCGCATTTGGAGCAGAGACAAGCTGAAGTGCTTCTGTTCTCTGGATATAATTTTGAAGCTTGGAGAAAAAACTCATGTAACAAGCAAGAAACCACCCCAGACAGCTTAAAAAGAAACAAATGTCAATTTTTGCCCCATTAAAAAGTGTTAATAATGTGACATCTCTTATCGTTCTCGTTTGAAATGCTACTTTTATGTCTCTCTTCTCCCTATGCGTCCTTCTAGCTGACACCCCCAAATCCCTCAGCAAGCCCATGGTAACTGTTTTGTCCTTTCTGGTGACATGATCTGGCACAAAAAAGCAGTGGAGTCAGTTTAGTTGCATCGTGTCCTGCTGTGAGTTTTACAGTAAGGAATGAGTCTGGTTTCTGTGCTGTTGCTTCATTCCTTCAGCCTTGCTCTGCACTCGTTTGTGCTGCTGCTGAAATAACGAAGGCTGTTCTGCACCTCAGGCTGATGGATGTGTGGTGTTAGTGCATAGAATCACAGACAGGTTTGGGTTGGAAGGGTCCTTAAAGCTCATCCCGTTCCAACCCTCTTCCACTAGAGCAGGTTGCTCCAAGCCCCTGTGTCCAGCCTGGCCTTGAACACTGCCAGGGATGGGGCAGCCACAGCTTCTCTGGGCACCCTGTGCCAGCGCCTCAGCACCCTCGCAGGGAAGAATTGCTTCCTTATAACTAACCTAAATCTCCCCTCTGTCATTTTAAAGCCTTTTCCGTTGTCCTATCACTATATGCCCCTGTCAAAAGTCCCTCTCCAGGTTTCTTGTAGCCCTCTTTAGCGTGATTGTACTTTGTGTGCAACCAGAAGGAAGGTGCAGGAACAGGCTGGCCCTGCGGAGGCTGGGTATTGCATTAATGATGCTGTGTGGCACAAATGATGTAGTGAAGCTTTAGGTGCCAGCGTGGTGTTTTGGTGAATCAGGGCTTTATCTTGTTGGGCACAGGTCATCCGTCTGCCATCCAAATAACAGCTCTCCTGCTTCTTGCTCTGCACATGCTGGATGAATCGCTGGGGTTTTTGTTTCAATGGCTTCGCCAGTGACAGAGACTTCTCTGAAGGGAAGAAGCTCAGCTGGGTCGTGCTGGTGGTGCACCCTCCGCTGGTGCTGCTTTTGAAATCAGCTGTGGTATGCGAGGATATTTAAAGACTTTTTTCTGTGCCACTTAACATTGCAGTGAGGTGAGGTACCTACACTCCCCAGTCCTTGAACTGCGACTGCCTAATCGCTGCTGGCATGCCGTAGGCTGATGCTTAGTGTGCTTGGCATCTCTCCATGCCATCAGTCAGTTCGACACTGCCCTTCACTATTCCTTCTGCTAAATGCAGCACTTAATTTCCAAATCTGTATGTCCCAAGGGTCAATCGCCAGCAAAGTGATAGTTACTGTTCTGCAGGAAATCATTTATAGGAGGTGTGGATTCCCCTGTGGCCGAGAAAGCTTCTTCTCATCCTTTAATGTTGGCTGCTGCTGAAATGTGATGGTTTCTAGCCGCAGAGCTGTGTAGTTGTCTCCATATAGATGAGGGCATTTGTCCTTGTCTGGGAGAGTATAAATGCAAGAAGAGAAGGTTAAATGGCCTCTGCCTACTGCTCCTCGTGTTGGTTTAGATCCCAGCACTTCATCATGCCAGACGGAACAGGAGATCTGCAAAAGTTTCACTTCCTGGGATCTAGGTGCAAGAGTGAAAGCATGAGACAAGATCCTAAGATAACACAGTGTGTGATGTAGGTGAAATAGCAAATCTGAATGTATGGACATTCAGGACATTCCAAAATAGATCTGCTTTTGGCACACAGCACCAGTTGCCTTTTCTGGCTGCTTCCTTCTGCTCAGTCCACATGAAGAAATGGCAACAGACATTTTCTTATCAAAAGGTGTATTTGCTCAAGACAGCAATATTGTCTGTGCCAGTAGCCTACTCAACTCATTCATAATCAATTTTTCCCATTCAGCTGTTTAAAGAGAGCTGAAGAATCTTTGTGATGTAGGCTCCTTCATCTCCCTCTTGCATTCTGCAGCCCAAGATACCACGTGCACTAATTGCTGAATCATATTTACTTTACTTAGGTTAGGGCAAAGCTTCTTTTAAACTGGAGTTCAGTGCAGCCTACATTATCTTTTTGTTCAAAGAGGTCATAGAAACAGTTTCTTGCCATTTGCAATTTGAACCTGCAACTCTTTAAGCTGGTAATATCCCCCCTTATTTATTTTTGTTAGACCTCATGAATGTCAATAAGTGAATGACATGCATTCATCGCCTGTGTAAGTGAAATGATTGGCATTTCATTTTCTGCCTGCTGCCTGCCTGGTGGGATTTCCATTTGGAGCTATTATTTCAGGTTCCTTTGGACTTGCTGCCAAATGAGTGCAGACTTTGTCGTTTTTAGCTATTTAAGTATTTCAGACATTAATTCTTCGCACTTGTGAAAACACGTGTGTTGTAGAGTGCAGCCCCATCTAACTTCTCTAAATGATACAGGTTAATGTTTGAAACTTTGGAGAAAACGGTCATTTAGTGTAGGGGTTTCCTCTTCTTTTTGTAAATACATTTCCAAGTGCCACAGGACAGTTTCCAGGGAGTGGAGATGTGCTGCTGTTTGGTGTAGACCGGACTCTGATGCAGATGCAGCTCTTCAGGGTAGCTCAGGTTGACTCTGGACATGTGCACGCCTTGTGCCTCGGGTCTCCCCGTGTGTGCTGGGATGGTGATGATGGGTGGTTGTTGGGGATGGAACTTTAAATTGGAGGATGAAGGGAAAGTTGTTGGAAACAGGAAAGCTTCCGTTCTGGGGCTGGTGCTGGGCTGCCCATCTGTGCTGTGGGTGGGCTGTGTATGAGAGCTGACTTTGCACCAGTAGCTCTTTATCACTTTAGTGGCTAAACCAAGAGCAGCATCTCCTTGAGCTGCTGCTGCCTCCCAAGTAGCAGCCTGGATCCACACTCATGAGTGCTGGAGGCTTAGTTTTTTAGAGATGGTTGCCTTTACTTCCAGCCCTGGACTTATCTATAGCAAGGTGGTTGTTACCTGCAGAAACTCTGCCGGGCCTCACAGTGTGAGGGCATCAGCAGAACTGATACTAAACTACCCGGTGCTCCCCACCATCCTCCCTGGAGTGCCTTCTTTCTACTTCACCTCCCTCCTCATCATCGTGTGCCCAGATCCTGGCTCACAACCAGGTGGGAAAGATTGTCCCTTTAATGAGGAGGCGTAATAAGGGCTCCCGTAATACTTGTGCTTCCCCTGTAACTCTCCTCAAAGAGCATCCCTTAGGGCTTGAGCTGCTGCCAGCTTACTAAACAGTTAGCTGGATCATAACACAAGTGATTAAGAAGTGCTCTTCATCTTTCAAGGGTACGTTAAAGAGCCCTATGGTCAGAGCTGTGCACCAGTACTTCACAGAGACACTAGCTCTCATGTGGGACAAATAGTCTTCTCAGCCTTAATGGTAGATGTTGGTTGACAGCAACTCATCGTGGAAGAGATTTGCTCCTGTGTTTTTGGTTGGGGTTTTTGCTGTTGTTCTTTAAAGTTGTGATTACATGAAATATTCTGAGCATGGGGTGCCTCAACTTCCTAAATAGGCTTAATAAGTTTTGGCTGGGTGGCAAGCACGCAGGTTCAGATTTCATCCTCTCGTGGGTGTGTGTATTGTATTAGCTCTTGGGCTGATAGGAATGTAGCTAAAACTTAGGAAAAATAGGTGCAGCTGCTGTTGTCCATTCTAATACCTTCCTAAATGCTTACAGGGGGCAGGGTATGTGTGTGGGGTTACTTTAAATATGTTACAATCCTAATGGAAATTTAACTTGTTAAAGTATTTGTGGCTTCCCTGTGGAAAAATGCCTTCATTGTGTGTGGAGTTTTCAGTTTGAATCAATGTCATCATTTCACAAGGTTGCTGAGAAAAGTCCTTTTGCTCAGGAAGCTCTGGCAATGTGAACCTTGCTGTTATTTGTTTGTTCATTTCTCTCTTTTCTCCTGAAATTAATTACTTGTTACTTTGCTTTTGGTTTCCAGGGTCTTGGTTGGCGCTCCCAAGGCAGAATCTAAATACAGCACCTCTGTTCAGTCCCCAGGAGCAGTGTTTAAATGTCGAGTCCATACCAACCCTGACAGAAGATGCACTGAGCTGGATATGGGGCGAGGTGGGTAGTTATGACACTTGGTGGGGAGAAAGGGGAAACCAAAGCACCACTAACCCAAATGGCTCGCAATTGAAGAGGCTCCAAGACATTGAGAGGGATTTGCCAGCCTCTCCTGATGAGTTTTAAGCACTGGTAGTAAAGGTGTCATATTCTCTTCAGCGTTATGGAATAGCATCCCACTAGGTGCTGGTGTCCTCCTCTTTGCTCTCTCCAGCGAGGTACCAGGCAGAGGTGGGTTTTTTCCCTGCTTACCCTAAGCTGCTGTCTATTCTCTACCTGCTTCCGTGTGACTTCAGCCTTGGTGGATGAGGGCTTGGGAGCGCTGCTGCCCGCTCCAGGCAGTGCTGCAATAAGGGTGCGTGGATGACTCCACAGGGTGCTGTTGGTGGTCTTGTGATGTGTGCTGTAACTAGCAGCATGGAGACCAGTGGGTTCCCTCCTCATGCGTGCAATTTCTTGGGTTTGCTTCTTTTTGTGCTACAGGAAATAAGTTTCTCAGTAAGAGCCATGCTTGTACACTATTGTGCGGCATCAGGACTGACTTTGGTTTCCCGCATGTACTGTCTTGAGCCAGGGGAAGGTGGAGTCCTAAAGTAAAACTCTGATCTAAAACCTCATGCTTGATTCTCATGAAGAAAATAGAAGCCTTTTAATATCTTGTTTTTCTTGCTGAGGTGTGATGGTGCTTTCTCTGCCTATAGAAAAGGCATCAGCTTTTCATGACTGAGTCAAGTAGGATTTATTTTTACGAAGCTTATGTGTATTCAGACAGTGCTTTTGGTAAGTTTCACTTGTCCAGCTACTGTAATGTAACCATCTGGCATGGATTCATGAATACTGCCTGATAGGATTTAAAATTTAGGTCTCAGTTGGTTTTTATTTAACTGCCCAGATCTCTTTTTTTCATGAGTAATTTGCTTTGATTGCTTTCTGCAGGCCATCCCATGTCTTTCCCATGGAGATGGACCATCAGTTGGATGGTTTGTTCAAGTAGAGCTGTGGACATGCTGGAACAGCTACTCACTGTTTGGGACAGGGTCTGTCCTCCACTATGTATTTGTATGGTGCCTAGTAAGAGTATTGCCTCGATTAACGTGTACAAGAGCTAATACGCAGGCTGAAAGGGAAAAGAAAGGCACTGTGAGGTGGATGTTTGATGGGCAGTTCCTTTGCTTGTAGGGGTTCTTTGGTGGGTATTTAAAACTCATGTCTCTGCCTTGCTGCCTTTCGCCTCTTTCTGTAGGCAACTCTCGGGGCATGCTCTGTGGCAAGACCTGCAAAGAAGACAGAGATGATGAATGGATGGGCGTGAGCCTGGCGAGACAGCCGAAGGCTGGCGGAAGCGTGCTGGTAAGTGGTTGTACCTTGGGACTCAGTTTATTCCTTTGATCTCATTAAAACTGCTGCTGTCTGACTCCTATGCTAAACACATCAGGATTAATGTGCTTGGCAGTGACTGACAGAGTCCAGCTTTACAGGCAGCAAATTCTGTACTCCCTCCCTTCAAGCGGAAGGAAAAGTGAGCCCTAGCCGGGAAGCTTTATTTATAGAATGAGGACTTCAAAGTTGTCACACCTGACTTGTGTCACCCAGGGGCTTCCTCCTAAATCGGAGGGATTAAATCTTTGAACCGAATAAAGAGAACTTTGTCTGGGAAGTACCTGCTAGTTTGTTCTTCTGGTCATTTCTCTGTGTTTATGTATGTCTGGCAAATGTATGCATCCACATTCCCTGAGCGTAGGTATTGCATGTCAGAACTCACGATGAAAAATGTAAGATGAGTCTTTGTGGTGATATTTTTCCTTTACCTGTATCAGTTTTCCATTAGCAACACAGAAGAGTTGTGAGTAGAAATGACTTGATTGTGTGTGGGTGGCCTTGTTGTCTTTGATATGGTTGCCATGCACATAGACAGGTCAAGGAGAGCAGATGTGATCCTTAGGATGTGGAATTTATCTTTGCAAAACATTTGTTGTGTTGGAAAAAGATAATCATAAGGAATGCTGAGCAAAAAACATTCTAAAATGCACGGTTGTATTATGATCAATAGTTGTCTGCATTTACATCCCCAGCTGGGTTCTGACTGTCTCCTGAGTGAGCCTGTCTGCAGGAATGTTAACTGAAATGTAAAAATATTACAGTGCAATACTGTGCACAGTATTTGTGGCAGGAAAATGTCAAGCTGGTATCCAGCTCTGACAACGTTCTAACTTTAAACACTGCTGTTCGGGAGTCAGAAAATTCCAGTATGACCCCATCTTTCCAATGGGATAAGGGATTGACCTGGTATGTGGCATCAAACTGTCACAAAGCTGGTAGAGAGAAAGATCCTGTGCACTGATTACTCTGTCAACGACCTATGTAAAGGCAAGTAGGCAAAGCTGCTTCACACAAAGGCACTTTACTATGCACTCAAGAGTCCAAACATGCCCCAAGTCCTTGCATACCAACTTCCCCGTGGGGGAGCAGGTGGTTTTGATACTTTCCTGCAATAGTAAGCACTGCGGTACTTTATCTGGTCATGTCTTTTTGTGTGCAGCTTGCTAGTGCTATAGGGGCCAGCTGATGCTCCACTTTGTGTGAATGCTTTACATGGATGCAGCACTAGAGGAGGAGGGGAAAAAGAGGGGCATAAATAAAATGTACTATAAACAGGTACAGCAGAGCAGAAAATTGAGGCATTCATGCTAGTGTGACTCTCATTTTCACGGGATGTCCTGATCTGTGTGTGTTCATAGTAAACTTGGGCTTGTTCAGCCTGGAGAAGGCTCCTTAAGGAGAGACCTTAGAGCAGCTCCAGTGCCCAAAGGGGCTACAAGAAATCTGAAGAGGGGCTTTGGACATGGACCTGTAGGGACAGGACAAGGGGAATGGCTTTAACCTGCCAGAGGGGAGATTGAGATGAGCTCTGAGGCAGAAGCTCTTCCC